TTGATCTTAGTTCTTCGAGAAAAAGAGAAGGATTGGAGAATTTCAATAAAATGTACTTTATTTTTTTTTTAGAAGTATACGAAATAATTCTGAAAACAAAATTTCATGTCTGTTAGTAATAGAGACATAATTATGTTTAATTCGACGTAGAAATCATAGCTACTGCAAGTGTGAAGGGTTACGTTACGCTCTCTTACATCATATAGATTGCAAGATTGTTTTCGACGAGAGAATTCCTAAAAAGCCGGTCAAGTGCACTCGGTTTATAAACCATCAGACGGCAGTTTGAACGTGGTTATCATAATAGCACGTACTTCTAAAAACATTTAAAAAGTAATTTAGGTTTTCCTGCCTATTGTACAGACCGCGACAGTGAAATAACAGTTAAAGTCCATTGTTCGATAAATAAGAAGTCCTTCTCAATCATGTAAGTTACGAATAAAAATATTATTCGAAATGTTTCATTTCATATTGGAAAATGTCACTGATGGATGGATAATAGATCGTTCGTGCCTCCTCCGTGATAATAACACTTGTAGACGAAATAATGACGTAACTTTATGAAACAAACCAAAAAAACCATAGTTGCAGAGGCAGTAGAGGTCAAACAATGTTTTTGTTGCGTTACGTCGGGAGGCTCGTCACTTGTTAACAAACCAATGATGTAAATTCAGTACTAAAGTAATTTCTGCAAAAAACTATGCTTGCGTCAAACGTCTCAGTGTAGGAGAATGCAATGTGCGAGTAAAAAGAAATACTGTTTCTTGGATATCACACAAGTGCCATACTTAGGTACGAATAGTCAACATTGTACGAGAACCATCGAGAATTGCGACGTAACTCTGCTCATAGCTTCAAGTTAAATGTAAATGTCACCGAAGCCATAAGATGTTCGAATTAATCAAAAGATACCGTAGTACCTATTACGTTGTTAACTTTTTAATATGTGTTTTAGTATTGATTTTATTTAGTCTCATTCATTCATTGTCAGATACGCGCATATTTTTTAATAAAAAATATAGATTGTGAATTAATAGGCAAGGGGCTATCATTTTAGACTGTCTGTCTGTGTAACCATATTATCACAAACATTTCACTGCTAGAGAGGGGTCTGCTTATATTGTTTATTTGTAAATACCACCTCCACGTCGGAAGTGTATTTATTATAAGGAAACTAGTCTGATTGTACCTAACCCATAATCTTTTTCTATGTCTCTGATGTAACGGCGCAGTTAAGTGTATCATTGACGCACGTAATAGTTAGTCCTGTAAAGTAAATCGATGTGGATAATACCACACCATCGAACATTCTAAACATCTGTACCACCGCAATACCTTTTACTTCTATATGCTATAGCTACGAAATTCTTTCAATTCCCTTTTATTATTATTATTATATATTATATTATTAAACTATAGGATATGAAATTTTATTATAAAATTATTAATAATTAAAAGTTAATATTACTCCGTTTTTAATATTACGAAGTAAAAAAAAATATTTTTGTATTTCTCGATAATAGACATAGAAAGTGGAAAAAGTCAGCTATACATTTTGCGGTCTGTAGTTTGATCTCACAGCAATTTGACGATTAACTTATTGTGTTCACTTGACACTAACTGGTTGTAATATGCCGTCGAAGTTTCCAGCGCTTCCAGCGCATCCGTTGATCTTCGGCTTATAGGACGTTCGTTGTGAATGCGTGATTCATTCTCAAGTAAAGCCACAATGTATTTTGAAATAACAAAAACAGAAGAGAAAGCATTGCGAAAGTGTCGTTTGTTGGCCATTGCTCATACTATATAAATATATAATGTACATATATGTACTTGTATTACAGATAACAAAGACTTTATTTACAACACCGGCTTTGTTTATTGCCAGTGTTTATTATATTTTGGTGCTTCCAAATGGCTAACGTAAATAAATAGCTAATATGAATTAATTATTTATGCTATACATATTTTAATGTTATATGGTTAGACCAATATCCAAATAGAATCTTCTTTGAACAAGTTTTAGGAATCACTGTACCCGCTCGTGGACAGTATTTACTTAAATAGGCACACAAAAATGTCACTACTTTTCTTTGTGCCGTAGTGCTTATTTATTTTTTATTTCTTTTTTGGTACAAATAGTCATTACAATATGAATCAATAGAGAAAAAAAATTAACTATGCTATAGACAACGAGTACCGAATATTATTACACTTAAATATTAATAACATAGGCTAAAAGGGCTTAAACATATACTTAGAATAAAAAATAAACGCATTTTTGAACCAAAAACAAATCGTCTTTTTTTATCAAATTTATACATACAACTAAAAAAAATCAAACAAAACTAATTAACCGGGATGTGTAACCACATGCTTCGTAAGCAGGCTCGCCACTAGGCCGCTAAGCCGTATCATTACTACTAAATAATTTGTTATGGATGCTTACCTACCTTAAATCTGTTCAATGAGACACCAAAAATATCCGTGTCACAAAATGTGTTATATTATAAAGATAACGAACGATGAAAATAACTGTTTCCCGTATAATTGTTACGCAGTCGTGGTGGTACGAAATTTTTTATTTTACGTTGAACGCGTATTGGTAAACGTGCTT